TAACTATCTCACATCTATCCCCCACCACACATAGAAGTACAAATACACCTACTTTGGGGAGGAACTAAAGGATGACACACATCCTTCATCCATTACGCATCACAGAACTTACAACCCTAATATTATCAAAAGGTAGGAAGCTCTATTCCCCAAGATCCTGGAAAGTAAAAGCAGTGTCCCAAGAAGCCCTTATCTGATACCATCTTTTGACCTGGAACATGGTTTTTATTCCCTGTGCCTGGGCTACAGAGTATAACATGTAAGAGAAAAAAAGATTGAGCCCTTACCAAAAATTATACACCCTTAACTTGAAATCAGGCAGAGTGGCTTAATGAGGAGTCCCTGGCTCAAAATAAGCTCTCCACTGACTATCACAATGCCTGTAGCCTACCACACGGAATTCATTCCAAACACTCCCACCAGAAAAAGAAGTGTGCTTTTTCACACTTGCCTGCCCACATTCCCTTTGTTCTGCTGATCCCTCTGTGAAAAATAGTCTGAACCTCATGCTCATCCTCATGCTTGTCTTCTCTTTCATGAAGATTAGGCCCAAATGTCATTTGGAAGGAATTTCCCTCTTGGCCCTTCCCGCCTCTGCTATGCTTCTGTAATAACCAGTTCACAACATCGTCACCATACCCAACACATTTTCACAACCAGTCAGTGGACCTCAGATGTTTAGTAAGCAAGACAGTCATTTAAGTAATCTGTTTAAAAATACAGTTTTTGTCCTGTGCAGATTTTGGTTCAGCAATTGCAGGGAGGGATCAGGAAACTGCATTCCCTAGTGATTTTTTTTTAAAATGACCATTTCATTTGACAGAATTTTTAATTGTGTATATTTAAGGCATCCCATGGGGGCATTTTGACATACATATTCCTTGTACAATGATTCCCATAATCAAGCTAATTAACATATGTATTACCTCACATGGTTATGTTTTTGTTGGCAGAGAACACTTAAATGCTATCCCATTAAGAAATACATGACTTTATTGTCACCATGTTATACATTAGGTTTCTGTAACTTACTCATCTCACAACTGAGCTTTCTTGCCAACAACACTTTGACTAACATCTCCCCAATGATTGATAACCACAATTCAACTCCTTCTTCAAACCCATCTCTTTTATATTGCACACACAAAGATACCATGGAATATTTGTCATTTTATGATCCTTAGTGATTCTGATGCTGGTGTCTACACTCTAGGCACACAGGAGAACTTGGTCATTGAACTGGAGGATACACACCATCTTTATTTCATCTTCATAACACCAGCCTTGGTCTAGAACATGGTCTAGGGAAAGTCCATGTTTGATAAAAGTGGTTGAATGAATGATCCCTGAAATATCTCCAAAAGAAAAAGCCCGAATGTATAGTAGGAGAGTGTTAGACCAGGAAAAGAGATTACAAGGCAGAGAGGATAGAAAACTGAAGCCCCATTTCCAGCTATTTTCTAATTGCTGAGGAACACTATGAAAGTCCCATCCTTAGCACTGACACCTGGTACTGAGCTTCTCTCACCCACACGCGAGGCTTACACCAATCAGCTCCCTGTGGACTGGATATTTCCAGAACTACATCCAGGAATACATGCTTTCTGTTAAATGCCCTTCTACATTTCCTCATTATCCATTTTTTAAACCTTTGTCGAGATATCATTGAGATACAAAAAAATTACATACGTTGAATGCCTAGTATATAACTTAATGAACTGGAACATACACATATACCAATAACACCATCTCCAAAACAAGGTATTGTGTGTGTGTGTGTGTTCGTGTGTGTGTGTGTAAATAGAACATTTGTGTTCTATTTAAAGTTTAAGGTACACAGTTTGGTATTGTCAACTATAGGCACTATATTGCATGAACCATCCCTAAAATGTAATTACCATCCATTCTTTTGAAGATTTATTTATTTTCATTGGAAAGGCAGATTTACAGAGAAGAGACAGACAGAACTATCTTTCATCTGCTGGTTCACTACCCAAGTAGGCATTATGGCTGTAGCTGAGCCCATCCAAAGCCAGGAGCCAGGAGCTTCTTTCTGGTGTCCATCATGGGTGCAGGAACATCCTCTATTGCCTTCTCATGCCATAAGCAAGGAGACAGATCGGAAGCATGGCAGCTGGGACACAAACCAGCACCTATACTGAATGTCAGTGCTCATAGGTGGAGGATTAGCCAACAGAGCCACTGTGCCAGCCCCAGTTATCATCCACTTTCAAAAGTCAGTAGTACCCAACTTGAGATAGAATGTTTTAGAGTTCCATTTGGAAGAAGGCAATGAGAAAGTCTCCATAAGATACTACTTCTACACAATTATACAAATCTATATCGTTAACATACTAATAATATCAAGAAAGAATGCAGCTTATAAAGCAAAGTCTCAAAATTGCTATACTTGGTGTAGATGACAAGTTAGGATGTTAAAAAAAAAAAGGGAGTGTATGTATATGGTTTAAAATGAGCTGAACAAAAATTTTCAAGTTTCCTACTAGATAAAATGGGTTTGGTTCTTTTCATACTGTTTCCTATCCTAATCCAGTGGAAGCTGAAAATATTATTCATCCATCCAACCCTCAGGGCCAGAGTTCTGTGTTATCAGAATGTTGTTTTGTTTCCAGATTGTTTGATGTTAATGGCTTGGTCACCAATAAGTTCTTTCAGAATAAACTTAAAGTTTATTCTTTCAGAATAAACTTAAAAAAAAAGTTATTAAACTTAAAAAAAAAGTCTGAAAGAATATTTAAGTGCAAAGCTTTCCAATACAATTTTTGGAAAGGGATTTGTTATATATTTACTGGGAAGTTAAAAAGAGAATACAGAGAATTTTCATATAACTTTCATCAATTTCTCCTAACATTAACATCTACATAGCCTTGATGCATTTGTCTATACCAGGTTATGACACCTTGCTGGTCAGATCCAAATGTCTGTTTTTGTAGTACCTCCAAGCAAATGGTACCATAGTCTCCTACCCATAATTTGACTTTCCAGGATTTCATCTATTCACAGTCAACAATGGCCTAAAAATATTAAATGGAAAATTCTAGAAATAGCCTATAGGGTGTTTTTATCCAAATATTTTAATTGTTTATTTATTTTAATTGGAAAGTCAGATATACAGAAAGGAAGAGAGACAGAGAGGAAGATCTTCCATTCGTTCATTGATTCACTCCCCAAGTAGTCACAACAGCCGTGGCTGCTCTGATCCGAAGCCAGGAGCCAAGAGCTTCTTCCAGGTCTCCCATGTGAGTACGGGGTCCCAAGGCTTTCCCAGGCCACAAGCAGGGATCTCAATGGGAAGTGGGGCTACCTGGACTAGAATCAAAGCCCATATGGGATCCCGGAGCATGCCAGGCAAGGACTTTAGTCGCTAGGCTACCGTGCCGGGCTCGTGGTTCACTTTTATTGTGCCTACTTAATAAATTACATTTTTTCACGGGGAGGTATGTATAGAAAAAAGACAGTATATGTAGAATTCTATATTACCTACGGTTTCAGATGCCACTGGATCTTGGAACATATCCTTTATGGATAAGGAAGGAGTGCTATATGCTTTTAAAAGGATGGAAACTTCAAAAGAAGTCGAATATTTCATGACACCCAGAAGTTTTTTGATATTCAGATTCCACCAACCGAGCCCATTGCTTTACATACTGTCGGGTTGCTTTGACACTGCTACAGCAGAACTGGGTAGGTTTTATCCTGTGATGCTGTACAGAAAAGATTCTAAACTAAGAAGCTAACACTGGAACGTTCCTGTTAACTAAAGCACTAGTTTCGCCCACTTGCCTTTCACTAGACAGTGCAGGAGCCACGCTGTGCTTAGCAAACACGTTCGTGTGTCAAACTCCGCTCCCACCCACCCAGGTGCACCGTAGCTCCGGCTTCGGAAAACATTTCTGTTGTACAAATGAATGTCAGCTGGCCACTTGAACAAGATCTGTTTTTGTTGTTTGTTTGGGGTGTTTACGTGTTTTTACACAATAGGCAGACAATTGAATGCAACATCTGGGCAAAGAACGCACTTGAAGATGGAGGAAGCGCTATATTTGTCCAAGCAAGCAGTCCCTGAGCTTTGCCAAGGGAAGGTCCCAACTCAGGTCCTTGAGAAGTCGGGGAGGGGCGGCGGGAGCAGGGTCCCCAACTCAATCAGCGTGAGGGCCTGCCCGGGTCCCACGCAGTCGCCGCCCCACCCCGGGCTCCTTTGTTCCCTCTTTCCCAGCCCAGCCTGTGAACGCCGGCTCCGGCTGTCAGTGGGCTCTGCAGGCGCGGGGCTGGCGGGCGGCGTCCGGTTGCCGAGCAACGGTCGGCGAGGCCGCTCGGTGCCGCCAGCGCAGAGCCACATCCGCACCAGCCAGTCTGCGCCTCGAGTCTGTGGCCTGGTTTCCCCACCACCACACTCCACCCCACCCCCTCTATTGTTGTAGCTGACACAAAAGGACACAACTCTTGGGTGGGCACCCGGCCTGCGCTGCCTGACACACCAGGCCATTTTTCGGGCCGGGGCTTTTGTGGAGTGGCCCGCTTCACCCTCCAGGGTCATCACTGCGGGCCTGTCACCAGCACTCTTTTCTTCCCTCTCTCCTCGCCGCATCCACCCACCTACCGGCTTTGTTGCCTTCGGCGGGCGGGCGGGCGGGCGGGCGGGCTGGGCTGGGCCCTCCCTTGTTCGCCTTTTGGCTGCGGTGAGGTCACCCGGCGGCGGCGGCGGCTGGGGCGCGCCTCCCACCCGCTTCTTCCCCTCCCAGCGCCCCACATAAACTCCCAGGCCTATTCAGTCATCTTTTCTTATCTCTTTCCCATCCTCCCCATCCCCCTGACTCTCAAGTTTCTAAGGCTGCCGTTGCCATAGAACTCGAAACAACTTGAGGGCTGAAGGGAGGCTTTCTGTGATGTCGGCCAAACCCCCCAAAAATCAAGGGATACACCCTGGCCAAGTTCTTGGGATTCCCAACGCGCCCCTCCTGGCTCCAGAGTCGCGTTACCTTGTGACCACGGTGTACAGCAACGTGTGTTTGGGTTCTGCGAAATTCTGTGGTGACTTGAGGGGAGAAATTTTGTTTCCTCAGGAACAAATTGCTTGTAAGAGTCGGAAAGGGTCTCCTTCCAATGGGAACCCCCCGCCAAGGGATGAGTTTGTTTTTTGTTTTGTTTTTTTCCTTCAGCCGTGTAACAACGAAGAAACAGTGCTGCGCCATCAGGATTTTTAGAGCCGAACCTTACTTGAGGAGGCACAAGCACACTGAGGCAATTCTAAGTGACTTGTGGGCCTTTTCGGTACCACGGAGCTATACGAAATGCCTGTTGTTCAGCCTAGAGTTCCCACTGAAGAGGGCTCCAGCCACAGCGCCATCCACAGGCCAGGGCCGGGGACGCAGGTGCCCAGTGCACATCTTAACCCCCAGGTTCCCTTCATTGCGCACCTGAAACATATAGTATACCTTGACCTGAAGCCTCATGCCATCTCTCTCTCTCTTTGGGTCCCAAAGCTTTGGGCCGTCCTTGACTGCTTTCCCAGGCCACAGGCAGGGAGCTGGAAGGGAAGCGGGGCCGCCGGGATTAGAACCAACGCCCATATGGGATTCTGGGCGTGCAAGGCGAGAACCTTAACCACTGCGCCACTGCGCCACCACGCCGGGACCAAAAGGTAGGTTTTAAAAGAGAGAGAAGGAGAGACAGAGATAGAGGTCTTCCATATGCTAGTTCACACCCCAATTGGCTGCAGTGGCTGGAGCTGAGCCAGTTTAAAGACAGGAGCCAGGAGCTTCTTTCAGGTCTCCCACATGTGTGCAGGGGCCCAAGGACTTGGGCCATCCTCCACTACTTTCCCAAGTCATAAGCAGAGCTGGATGGGAAGTGGAACAGCTGGAACTTGAATGGTATTCATACGGGATACCAGTGCAGCAGGCAGATGATTACCCTGTTATGCCACCACTCAGGCCCTTCCTTTTATCTATTTTTAAATGTTTAGTTTCAGGCAAACCCCTGTTGCTATAAATCAGTCAATCATGGCCGATGTGCAAATATTTGTTAGTGAATGTGGCACAAGTTCTGATTCATCAGAAAAGATGCCCGACCAGGACACATTGAGCCTGGTCAGAAACCTGCATGAGAGTGAGCCAGCTGAGCACTGCTGACATTCTTCAGGATGGAAACATTTTGTTGGGCAACCTGATGAGAAATTAGGGGAATCCCAAAAAAGCAAAATAGGTGTTTGCCCCCAGATATTTATCATTTGATTAAAAAGAACAAGCAAAACTAATATTCATTAACAACATCAAGTGTTACAAAACAACAAATTTATTCAAAGCTTGAACTTCTCATTAAAATAATAGCTTAACTTGCACAACAATCCCAGGACATGACGTGTATTATTATTATCATCCCCATTTTATCTGTATAGAAACCCAATTGTTAAAGACTTCTTCTTCCAGATTTTATCTATTTAGATTATACAGAAAAAAAAGACAACAGATCCACTTTGGTCCTTGCCTGCAATGTCTCAGGTGCAGTTCCAGGCTTGCTAACTCCTGCATATAAATCAGCACACTTCAGAAATGGGGATTTCATAGTCATGCATAGGACAAGTGGAAGGAAGCAAAGTTCTAACCAAGGGGCATTGATAGGAGGTCGAATCCTGAGTCTAGAGCAGAGATTACAGGAAAGAGGGTGGTGGTGATTTAGCCTCAGTTATCCAGCATGGTTGGGGGAGAAAAAACAAAGTAACCGTGCTTTGAATGGAAAGAAAGAAAATGTATGGGGCTATCTAGGAGGAGGGGCCCCAAGCCTCAACCACAGACCAGAGGTGGCAGTTGGGTAATGAGGCCTTCAAGGCAAGCAGATGAAGAAAGGAAAGAAGTGATGTAAGAGGCCCTTGGGAAAGCATCTCAGCCACTGACACATGTGGGGGATGTGAGACAGAGTTGTGGAACTTTTAACTGTGCCCAAGCCTTTTATGATAAATACCTCCCCAGTGGGCTGTAAGAGACAACTCTGCAGCCGCAAGTGCCTAACTCACCCCTTAGTAGTTCACTGATAGAAAATTGGAACCCATAAACAAATATTAAATTACTTCACATTATGTAAAACAGTGGTAGGTCCACAGTAGAAACTAATTTCATATTTATTGACTGACAGCTTAAATAAATAAAGATAAATTAATAAATTAAATAAAGATAAATGTAAATCCTAAACTTTTGTCCGTGTGTGGTCAGCTTCGGTTGTGATGATAATCTGAAGGCCTCCAAAACATGGAAGGGCAATGAGAAGGCATGGAAGACAGCCATGCCCTGATGCTGCCTGTAACTTGAGTCTAACACCTTGAGAAGATCATTTGGTTCCAGTGGCCTTGGCCATCCTGTTTGTTGATTGCTTAGGGTGGACTCAAAGCATCTGAACTACAAAAGTCCAAATTTAACAAATGTATACCTACCCCCAAAGACTTAAAGAACAATACAGAGTGTATTTTTGTGCTGGGCAGAACTTGGCAATTCTTTCCATAAGTAACCATCAGTATTCCTTAGATTCTTTTCCTATAAGAATGCTACTGATTGTTCTCATGTGGGGAGAGCTGTTCCCATCAACTTCGATTCCCATGATTTCACACTCATGGAAATTTTCTCAGAGTAGTTTCTTTGGCAACTTCATGCTCATGATCAACTTCATATCAATAGGAGTTATGCAGACCTATCAGCGGGAGACTGTGCTTCTTCAGGGCAGTAGGGAAAAGCAGCTGTCTTCTTTTATTATCAAAAAGTGAAGGCAGAAAACACAAGAGATTTTTATCATGTATGGTAGAATAAGTTGAAGATGAAACTGAGCATCTCCTGCATAAAATGAAAGGCTTTGTATGTGTTTCAAAGATATATTATATGCATAATAAAGGATTAGCTTCAGCACTTTAAGCCTTACACACACACACACACACACACACACACACACACACACATCCCTAGATAGATAAGAATGAAAACATATTGAATTCTGTCTATACTTTCCTCCCAGGAAATTAGAACACCATTCTTAAATGGGGGGGAGGGGTGCAGAAAGGAAACACTGTTTATGGAGAGCTTATCTTATAAACAATGAAGCTCTTTAAATGGAAAAACAGTTCCAGTAAATAATACCAGTGGTCAAACCCACCATGCTTCAGCCTTGTGATATGTCTTAATTCTAAAACCTGGATATTGTCTCTTCAGATCTGTGATCTTTCAAGCACTGTCCATAGGTCAGCAGCAACAGCATTACCTGCAGCTTCACCCACGTCTATTGTACCAAACCTGCATTTTGTCAAGAATCCTTTAGTAATTTTTATTTCACCATCAGAGAAGGACTGCTCGAATCAACAGCATCCATGCGTTAGAGCTGATATTCCAAAGTGGTTTGCTTATTTTGAAACAGTAATTTTCCTTTCTGGAGAAAAAAAAAAAATATATATATATATAGGAATCATTGGCTACATCAGTCAGAAATAGCACCAGACCCTTTCTACCAACAAAGAACTCTAAAACACAGCATCCTGTCATTAGGAAGTGCCAGCCGAGGCCTATGATCAGTGAGGCTTGTGCTTGCAGTGAACATCAAACTCTTCCATCCACATTCTCTTGCTCCAACCTTTCTGGGACCAAACACTCACTTTTACAAGATGGCTGAGGTTAAGAGTGCAATCTGGCCTCAGAAAAAGAGAAAAGCTCACTGACCCATGCTGACCTCTAACCCTGACCTCATTAGCTAACCAAATGAGCTAACCAGCCATGGACATTGGAGAACATTATGGATGGATTAAGCCAAAGCATCAGAACCAGCAAAAGATCAATTACATAAATGGTTCTGCCTTGATTGCCCATATTTAAGCATAGTATGCAGAGTACATACTCAAATTCTCTTCCAACTTCACTACTTTCTCCCTGTGATACAACAGACTGAGGACTCAATAACAAAGCTTCTTCTCTTCCAAGGCACTCTAATCTTTCCCTTCACAGTACTTAAGGCAAAGTGCAAGCATAAACATACTTGATGTTTATTCTTTTATGATCCTCTCCACCACTACCCCTCTTTAAACCATGAACTTCTCCCCCTGGTTTTACATCCATCCCAAGCATTTAGAAGATTCCCACTATCTAGTAAAAATTCAGGAAACATTTGTTAGCTAAAATGACTAACTGAATAAGTACCTGACCTGACTATCTTACAACATTCAACTAACATTGACTATTTTATTATGCTAGGGATCCAAAGTATAAAGTTTCTCCTGCCTTTTACATTTTCATATTTTCTAATGTGAAATTACATTTTTACATTTTCTAATGGAAAAGACAGATCTTATTGCTAACATTTGAGTCACTGTTCTGGGCACATTACACATACTAACTCATTGATTCCAATAGCAACTGAAGGGAGTTGAGCATCTCCATTCTGCAGGTTTGGAAACTGAGGCAGAGATTGGTTAAGTAATCTTTTCGAGTCCACACATCTGGTATCTAGCAAACTTGCATGTGAATGCAGGCAGTATCTGCCAGCCATACTGTCAGTAAACCACCAAGGAGCAGATACCATGGAAGGTGACAAGAGAAGCATACAAGGATCTAAGGAAACAGAGCAGGGGCAACTGGTTCCAAACTCAGCCCATGATTTTCACACAAATAACCAAAAACAAGCACATGCTGGTGATGAAGAATTTGCTATTGGCAGGAGTACAACAGTGTCCCGCCAGAAGCTGGAGCCAGTATACGTTGGAGTCAGTCTCACTTTCCCAGCGCTTGTGCTGTACAGCTTGTGCTTTTCAGCTTAGGTGGCAACCGGCAGCCCAGTACAATGAAAACATATATAAACCTGCATGGTGAACTTGGTGCAGGAACCAAGCTCTGACTTCAACACTTTAATGGGATTCCGAGGAAGCTGGAACAGGATATCAATGACATCCAGACTTGGAATTTAGGACCCAACAGGATAATCACTTACCCAGGCACAATGTACATAGCTGCTTTCTCGTCTGGTCATCTCTCTACCTTTATTCTTCCTTTCTCCATCCTCCAGGGACAGAGCTGTCCCCTGCAGTCTGGACATACATTAGGGCTTTTCAAGTGGAATCACTTCCTTTAATTCCTGCTAGGTTATGAGTGTGACCTCTGGTTCCGCTGCATATGTTTCAAGCTGAGATACCATCACAATTCACATTTCCCTTCCAGGGCTCCACAAATTACTCTGGTGTGAAGATTACATAAAAGTACACTCTCAGTTCCTAGAAGTAGTTTAACAGAGCTTGGGATTTGGGGGAAACTACACACTCTGG